ACGTTATTATTAATTATTATTTTTTTCTTGTTGTAATTTTTTTTTTTATGACCCTTACAACCAGCCCCACGACGCCGTTCTGTACGTTTGCTCCCCGCAACAATCACCCACACACACACAACTTTTCTGGTTGCACCTTCTCTATAATTTTTTTTTTTTCTTTGAGGCTTCACCATTCCTGGCAGCGACACTTCACTGGAGTTATGCAAATCGTTTGGACTGCACCCTGCTCCCGCAAACGACCTCTGCCGCGGCTGGGAAAGACTGATAGCGTACAACAACAACAAACAGTTAAAGGTTAAAAATGATCGTGTAAGGCTGTGGTGGAGGAGGGGTGGTGTGTGCCACGATGAGCTCAGCTGGTGCTGGGTGCGGGCTTCAAACCCGTAGGCGAGTTGTACTCGCAGCCGTTCGATTCGGCCTTTGTGGTGTTCCTGGTGAAGGGGCGCGGTCCCTCTCTCCACAGGTGTGTCTCTGTCTCTGGTGTGCATGTGTGCATGTGTGTGTGTGTGTGACTATGAGATCTGTGTGCTTTGGCATTTTGTTTGTGCTCGTACCTTTTTTGTTTTTGTTTGCGTGTGTGTGTGTGTGGTTGTTGTGTCTGCCTGGTGTCCTGTTTGTGTTTGTGTGAACTATGTGGTGCCTTTCTCTTTTTCTGCTGGTGGGCGGCGCGGTGCGGTAAGTAAGGCAAGAAAACTGGAGGGAGGCGGGGGTGGCTGCTCACAGATGCTGTTGAATGTCTCGGATCATTCTCGCGGCGCGACGCTGCCATGGTGTGACGCGCTGGTTGATCGGGTTGCATGCTTTAGGTGGGGCGCTGTGGTTCCGCTTGTGGCACCCGACGAGGCGCGGAGGCCGACGGGTGTGCCTGTGGACTGCCCGCTGCTGCAGCTGACTCGGGATGCGCTCCGAGAGATGTGCTCTGCCGTTGGTCCTTGTTCGCCGCCCTCCAGTGATCTTCGCGGGACACACAGTCGACGAGCGTGCTTCGCGTGCGACGACGCCCACACCTGCCCCTTTGATTTTCTTTGTCCCATTGGCAATGGCAGTTTCGGCACGGTGCAACTTGTGCAGAGCCGGGTGTACCCAACGCGTTTTTTTGCTGCGAAGAGTGTGACGCGTCCGCTGCATCCCGCTGCATGTGCCCCGATGGGGTTGCGGGATGGAGACGAGGCTGCGTTGGCGGCGCTGCGCCAGGCGTTCTCTGGCACGAAATCTGGAGTAGTTGCATCGCACTTTCCTGGGTTTGACGATATTTTCCGTGAGGCACGCGTGGCCGCCGCTCTTCCACCTCATCCTCACATTTCGCGGTGCTACGGCGTGCTGTTGTCGCCGGGGGCTGCGGGGAAGACTGGAGACGTGGCCTCGTTTGCCCTGCACTCCGTGTCATCACAAACTGCCGGTGGCGCCCACATGTTGATGGAGTTGGGTGCCGGCGGCACGCTTGGGGATTTGTTCAAGCGTCGCGCGTGTCACATTGCGGAGGAGCATCTGGCTTGTTGGCTCGGGCAGTTACTGCGAGGGTTGGCGTGCTTGCACAAGGGAGGCGTGATCCATCGTGACATCAAGCCATCGAATATCCTTGTGCGCCGGCGTGCCTCTACAGCGTGGGAGAGCGACACGGAGTTGTTCTTTGTGGACTTTGGCATCTCTGCGTTGATAGCGGACTCAAACTGCGAAACGGAGCGGACGGTGATTGGGTCGGGCGCGTACTGCCCCCCTGAGATTGCGCGATACTGGGGCTACCGCAGGCGATGCGCTTATTCCTACGCCTCCGACGTGTGGAGCACCGCGGCGCTTTTTTACGTGTTTGTCACATGTGGTGCGGCGAGCATGGAGGATGGTATGGCTGCTGTTTTTTCAACCAATTTTTCCGCGGCTACCGATTCGGCGATGGCGGCTCAGTTCCGGGTGGCGCGCGGGGAGTACCCGACGCTGGTGATGCTGAAGCAAGTTCCTCTCTTGGATGATGGCGCCCTTCGTCTCGCACAGGAGCAGCTCGCGGGGCGGAGTGCTGGTGCCGACGGGGGGTTTGAGCAGGGTGCCTACACGCACTACACGACAGTGGCTGACGAGGCCCCCAATGGTGGGGAGTGTGAGAGTTCAGGTGGGTGGCCCGCCTGGGTCTTTTCTCCGGCTGTCCAATTGATGGCGAGGCACCTGCGGGTGCGAGAGCTCTCCGTGGAGTTTCTGAGCCTCATCGATTCCATGATGGCACTGAACCCTGCGGAGCGTCCCACGGCAGAGGCGGTGCTGCTGGACTCGCCTGTGTTTGGGATGCGGTTGCCGTGGTGGGAGAAGGTGGTGGAGAAGGCGATGCAGCGCGTCGTGGAGGGTGTAGAGAATGTGCTGCTGGACGTGTGCGTTGGTGATAGTGACGAGGAGGAAGAGGAGGATGAGGAGGAGGCCGCGCTTGTACGGCGCACCATGGCGCCTCTCGTTTCGCCTGCGGAGAACCACGGCTACGTCCCGCACAACGTTGTCCACTGGTGGGACATCGATCTCACCAGAGGCGAGCCGGACCACACAAAGTGGCTGCCACCCACCTCGCTGCTCGCCTCTCTCCTCACAACGTTGCGGGACTTGACGGGGTTTGAGGCGACGGGCGATGCGCTTGCCCCCGTGCGTCGGGAGGTGCCGTTGTACACCGTCACCTCGCTGCGGTTTCTTGAGCGTGTGTGGGCGCCAGTCTGCGGCGCCGAACTTTCCAGCAAACGCGTCGACGACGGACCTCTTTTTAGTGAGCTTAAGGCTCGTGGCTGGAACACGGACTTCATCATTCATGTGCAGATAAAGTTGAGTGCCGTTGCTAGGGCTGGGCAGGTGCTGATGCGGAACGGCTGGACGGAGGATGAGGATGTGGCGGACGAAGAGGAAATGGCCCGGCGTGCCATGGAGGTGTTGGTGGCCGCGACAGAGACGTGGCTTCGCCACCGTGAGGCGATCACCGGTGTGGTGGCTCTCCACGTGCTGCCATGGGTGAGTTGGCACCTTGGCAGCGAGGCAGGTGGCACAGGCGGAGACGCACCGCGCTGCTTCACTGTGGAGTACATAGCTGCCGGTCCGAGAGAGGACCGATCAGAATCAGCGGTCTGTAAAAACAGCGTCACAGGGGACCTCGCTGCGGTTTTTCGCGATTGGCGAGCCAACGTAACGAATGGTTTGCAGCAACTGTCCTGCGGCGTCGACGCCACTGCCGTTGCGGCTGAAGATGTGAGGCGTGACCAAGCCTCACCTGTTCAGCGCGGCATTCCTGCGTTGGAGCAGAGCTTTGAGGCGGTGCTGGGCGCTCTTGAGGTTTCTGAGTCGGAGCTAATTGGGCGGCAGAAACGGAATGAGGCGCACCATGGGCTACTGCAGGGTCACGTGGTTCCCTGGCTCAGCACGAGGCCCGCGCCCTCCGTGGAGCGGTGCGTGGACACTCTTCGAGGCGTGCGTGACGGTGCAGGGACACTTTCACAGCAGATCCAGGAGTGGATTTTAACTACCATCTTCACAACGGAGGGGGCCATGGCGTTGATGCCTCGACCCGGCATCAGCGGCCAAACGGATTCTCTCCCGTGATGCTGCTGGATCTCTCCACAGTGGCGGTAAAAGGGTTTGGTTATCGTTTGTCACATTCATTTTGTTGATTGATCCTTCGCTGTTTTACCTTTTGCATATTTTTTTTTATTATTAATTTGTTTCCGAATGTGACATTTACTGGGGGTGTGGGTGCCGTGCATGCCTCCCTCTGCAACGTGCGTTGTTGCAACTGACAGAGAAGTTTTTTATCCACCTGTCGCTGCGAGCACTGCTCACTGCCCTCCCCAACCATGTCTGATCCCCCTTCATTGCCAGTTCATAATCACGCCTTTTGTTGTTGCTTTTCTCCTGTGTGTTGCTATTCTAATAGGGCGTAGTGTAGTGGTGATGGCCTTGGAGCGCCCTGGGCTCCTTTGTGCGGGGCTGTGGTGGAGGAGGGGTGGTGTGTGCCACGATGAGCTCAGCTGGTGCTGGGTGCGGGCTTCAAACCCGTAGGCGAGTTGTACTCGCAGCCGTTCGATTCGGCCTTTGTGGTGTTCCTGGTGAAGGGGCGCGGTCCCTCTCTCCACAGGTGTGTCTCTGTCTCTGGTGTGCATGTGTGCATGTGTGTGTGTGTGTGACTATGAGATCTGTGTGCTTTGGCATTTTGTTTGTGCTCGTACCTTTTTTGTTTTGTTGCGTGTGTGTGTGTGTGTTGTTGTGT